AGTCTATCGGAATTAAGTCTGATGATATGCCATTGTTAAATAAAACTGAAGAAACTGTTTTGAACAATTTTAAGGAATCGTTGACCTTTAAGGACGGACGTTATGAAGTTTCTATACCTTGTAAAGAAAACCAAGTGACATTGAAGAGCAATTATATTCAAGCAGAAAGAAGGCTGTATAGTTTGGAGAAAAGGCTTCTTGAAGACCCATTGAAAGCGAAGATTTACCAAGACACCATTAACAAATATGTGGAGGATGGTATTGCAGAAGAAGTACCAGCCAATGAAATCAAGCCAGTTGATAATCGACCAGTATTTTATCTCTCACATCATGCTGTTATTCGGGAGGACAGACAGAAAACTAAAACTAGAGTTGTATTTGATGCGTCTGCCAAAGATAGTGAAGGAACATCACTGAACAGTTGTATCGAAGCTGGTCCAGCTTTACAACCAGATCTATGTGGTATTCTTTTGCGTTTCCGAAAGAAGAAGATCGCTGTTACAAGTGATATTGAGAAAATGTTTTTGCAGATCAGTTTAAGAGAACAAGATCGAGATTCTCATCGGTATTTGTGGCGAGACCTTGATCTTGAAGCATCTCCCAAAGTTTACAGAATGACTAGAGTGACTTTTGGGATTATTGCCAGTCCATTTTTGGCAATATGTACTACCCAAGAGCATGTACAGAGAAATAAAGAACTGTATCCTGAAGTGTGTGATGAAATTCTTAAGAATACATATGTTGATGATTTTGCCTTTTGTCGAGACGAAGTTAATGAAGCGAGAGAGCTGCAACAAAGTGCGAAGGAGTTGATGGCGCAGGCGGCTTTTAACTTAACCAAGTGGTCAAGTAATTCTCGAGAGCTTTTAGAAGTTATACCTGAAGAAGATAGAGCACCTAACAGTCTCATCAACCTTAACCAAAGTTTTCCAGAGAATTGTTCAATTACGAAAGCTCTTGGTCTGAAATGGGACACAAACAAAGATACTTTGACATATATAATTGAAATTGATCAACCACATATTGAGACATACACAAAGAGACAGGTGGCTTCGTGCGCTGCTAAAGTTTTTGATCCAATTGGATTAATCACACCATTCACTGTGAGATCAAAGATGTTGTTACAAAGTCTGTGGACCCAAGGCATTGCATGGGATGACGAAATACCTACTGAAACCTGCAGAAAATGGACACAATGGCTGAAGGAGATCAACGATCTTGAAAACCTTGCCATTCCACGGTGTTATGTAGAGTTGCCCATGAATCGCTATTCTCGATTGGAACTTCATGCATTTGGTGATGCATCGGAGCTTGCATATGCATCTGCAGTCTATCTACGAGCTTTGTCTGTTGAGGGACATGTTTCAACCAGTCTAGTTATGTCTAAAACCCGAATAGCACCCGTTAAAAGAGTTACCCTGCCGAGATTGGAACTGATGGCTGCAGTTATTACTGCTCGACTGTGCACTTATGTTCGCAATGCGTTGGACTGCCAAATTGATCGTATTGTCTGTTGGACTGATAACTCGTCCACTCTTCACTGGATACGTGGTTCACCTTCACAATGGAAACCATTTGTTGCGAATCGCGTTATGGAAATTCAATCGCTGTTAGATCCATCGGTCTGGAGATACTGCCCTGGACCACAGAACCCGGCTGATGTACCCACTAGAGGAATGTCTTCGAATGAATTGAAAGAAAGTCGGTTATGGTGGGAAGGATCTGCCTGGTTGAGAAGTTCTGAAGAAGAATGGCCAAAGGATCTACGATCGGCATCTTTAAATGAACATGTTGAGATTGAGAGAAAGCATCACGCCAGTATCAATAGTTATGTCATACAACCACAAGAGATATTTATTGACTTTACCAGATTCAGCAAGTACAATAAGTTATTGAGAACCATAGCATGGATAAAGAGATTTATCCACAATGCTCAAGTTAAGCAGGACGAAAGAAGACAAAATGTCTTAACTGGATTAGAAATCCAAGAGTCAGAACGTTGGTTGGTCAATCGAATCCAAATAGAACGGTTTTCAGACGAAATTTTGTTGATTCGACAAAGTAAAGTATTGAACGATAGTAAATTAAGAAACTTGAATCCTTTCTTGTGTCAGTCTACCGGTTTGCTTCGTGTTGGTGGCCGAATCCATAAAGCTGAGTTGCCCGAGGAGGAGAAACATCCCATTATTTTACCTAGTGATCATCCTGCTGTAGAATTATTTGTTCAAGCTATTCACCGTCGTGAAATGCATGCTGGCGTTGAGCATACATTGTCAGTGGTCCGTCAAAGATTTTGGTTGATAAAAGGAAGAGCTACGATCCGCAAAATCGTAAAGAGATGTATAGTGTGTCGTCAGTTTTACACCAAGCCTGTCTCTCAACAAATGGCACCTCTTCCAGCTGACCGAATTGTACCTGCACCTCCATTCACAAACGTTGGTTTGGACTTTGCTGGACCTTTGTATCTTAAGAACCGTGGTGAAAAGGCATATATTTGCCTTTTTACTTGTGCTGTCACTCGTGCAGTACACTTAGAATTGGTAAGCAACATGACAACTGAACGGTTTTTGCTGGCGTTACGACGTATGGTTGCGAGAAGAGGCATGTGTAGTATTATTTGGTCAGATAATGCAAAAACGTTCAAATGTGCTAAAAAAGAGTTACAGAGTTGTTGGCGAATCCTGGAATCCGAAGAAACCCGTACAGCTTTGTCTGAGAAGAAGATTCAATGGAAATTCATAGTACCCAGAGCCCCTTGGTGGGGTGGATTTTATGAACGTCTCGTGAAAAGTGTTAAGTTGCCGCTGAAGAAAATCTTTGGAAATGCAATGTTAGACGCCGAGCAAATGACCACCATTCTGACGGAGATCGAGGCTCAAATTAACAGTCGTCCTCTTACTTACATTGGAGCTGAACCAAATGATTTAAAGGCCCTTACGCCAGCCCAGATTCTCATTGGGAGAAATTTACAGGCGTTTCCAAGCAAAGATACGAAAGTTACGGAGCACACTTCCAACGCCTTAAAGAAACGATTACAATATCATCAACGTTTGGTAAATGGATTTTGGAAGCGATGGAATGCGGAATATCTTAAGTCGTTAACCACTTTGAAGAAATGGATCGATATTGGTCGAAAAATGCATGTTGGTGATGTAGTACTCGTAAGTGAGGATAATGTTCCAAGAGGACAGTGGCCGAAAGCCCGTGTTGAGGCAACGCATGAAGGAAGAGATGGTCTGATCCGATCTGTAACGTTACGTTTGCCCTCAGGCCGCCATACCCGTCGTCCTGTACAAAGACTACACGTGTTAGAAACTTGTGATGCTGACATAGCAGCAGGACTAAAGTAAACATTGAACAATAATTAGCTAGTTTGTTGACATTTGTCAGTTAATGAAAGTTGATGCACTTCCTGCATCGGGCGGGAGGATGTTCCAGAGTAGAAACTGATTATTACTGAGAAAGAGACTGGTTCGAGGAACTGCAGGGGCTCGGACTCCCCGAATATGTACAAAACGAAAGTAACTTTATATTTTTGTAAATTTTTGTTTATGTTAAATTTCACGTCTGTTTTCCGTATATTTTGCGAATTAAATAAGTTTAAAAACAACCTCGATTTTTCATACCAAATTTCGGTACTCTGCCCAAAAAAACCAAATATCTTGCCCTTTGCGCCGAAATATTTCACCCAAAAAAGTGACTGGGGCCCAGCAAAAAATTTCTAGGGGCCCTTGGGGCCCGGGGCAATTTGCCCCCCCCCCTCTCGGCGGCCCTTGTTGCCAATGGTTGGCCCTTATTTTTTAGCTACTTTTGACGGTTTTT